TAACTCATGTTATATTACACTTTGTATATAGAGCTCAATGTTTGATGAGGAATTGGAGAAAAGAATGTAAAAATAGTGAAAAAAGGGGATGAAATTCGAGGACTAAATTGCAAAGATGGCATTGAAGATGGCCAGGATTTAAGTAAATATAGTTGGAAGATAAGAAAAAAAGGTTACAAGAAAAAATGACTGAAATAAAGCAAATCCAAAGTTCAAGGAATGAGTACAAATACTTAAAAATTATGTCAAACATTACGATGAAGTTTCAATAGTGTTAGGGGTCAATTTGATGACGAAAGAAGCCAAAGGGATGAATTATAATCAAAATATTATCACATGTCAACTTTCAGATAAAAAAGTTATCCTTCGAATGTTCAGTCTCAGGATGAGACCCATTTTTGGCATATCAAAGTTAGAATTAAAAAAGTGTATGCCTAAAAGAATTATAACCCTTTGAGTTAGCTTTTCAAAAAACTTTGAATCACTTCAATCGGATTAGAGGTGAACGCGGTTCGGTTTGAGCAGTTTGTACTATATTTTCAACTCAAACCATTTTTAGCGGTTTGAGAAATTTTCAAATCAAATCAAACCATTTTATTTTTCAAACCAAATCAAATCAAACCATAATTTATTGTTTGGTTCAGTTTTAATCCGCGATTTACCTTTCGACATTATAATAATGTATTTAACATAGTTAAATATAAGTGTAAACGAGAACTTATAATGGTATATGTTAAATTACATTCATATTTACCATGAAACGCATGAATAAATTATTTTCAAAATTGGTTGCTAAAAGATGTTAATAGAACAAATACATATTTTTTCATTTTTATTTACCTTTTCTTGTTTAACATTCATATTGTTATATAACAATTGGTAAACATAGAGTTACATTCTATTATTATAGTTTAGTTAAAATTCCTTTTCGTTTTGCTAGTGAGATGTAAAGTAAAAGGAGTAGTACTAGTTAGGGAACTTTAACATTTTTCACACAATCAATATGCTTTGTCATTTGTTCTTTTTAAATAAAAAACAAGTTCATTAATCATCTAGGCACACAAACAATCATTTTTCTATATAAACCACAACTCACAAGTATATAATAAGTTCAAAAAAATAAATAAAACAAAGAACAATGGAAAATAGCCAGAATAAAAATCTAAGACTTATCGAAAGAGAAGAAAGAAAGAAATGATTCATGTAGATATTAGTAGACTAACAGGTAATGCGACTGATGATTCGTTCAGCGGTGGTAGACAAGCGTCAAATGTTATGAAAATTAGAGCTTATGTTATGGTTTCTGAAACTTTGGACATGATTTACTGATATAGTTTTGTTAAATTATGATTTGCATAGTTGAAAATATATATATTTTTTTCATTTCATATGATTTTGGAATAATTTTAGTTTATTTTAAATATCAGATCAGGACATGTATCTTGAACCTATTAAATCATATGTCAGTAGTGATTAACCTAATTTATTTTTTATGATTATTTCAATAGGCTAGTTGTAATTTGTATTGTTAAATTGGTATTTTTTTTGAAAAGTGAAAACTGTAAAATTTTTAAATTAATAAAATTAATTTTTTAATTAAAATTTTTAAAAACGGTTCGATTTGGTTTTGTGCGATTTTTGAAAATCAAAACCTAAATCAAACTATTTTGAAACGGTTTGGTTCGGTTTGAGGAAAAAGAAACTACGAGTCCACGTGGACTCGAACCAACAGTTTCAATTCAACGGTTTCAATTCGATTTGTGGTTTCACAATTTTTTTTTTGCAACCCTAAATCGGATATCAGGAGAGAAAAATATGATGAAAATATTAAAAGCTGTCTGATGGGAAAAATTGTAACTATGCGGCCGCATAGCTTTAATTAGATGCGACCACATCTATGCCTCTAGAGCCCCCGGGACCACCTATGATTTCTTCTATGCCACTGCTTCCATTTGTACTGTGAGATCGCATAGTACTTTTCCAATGTGAGAATTTGTTTTCTTTTCAAATTGAAACTCTACTTTGTTAACAATCTTTTGGGCATCATTTAAATATTATAATCTGTCTAGAACGTAGGGAAATCTCTATAAGACCTAAAAATTCATAGATTTAACATATTTTGGAGACGAAAAACGAGGCTAGATCATCAATATCAAAGGAATTGTACAAGATTCTTGAAAATTTTCCATCCAATTCAAGATTTTATTTAAGAAAGTGGATGTTTCTATCTTCTTTCATATTTCTTCAAGCCAGATGATGTCTTTTCATTATTTCTTGTACAACTAATAATTAGGATGGTCATTTTTTCTTTGTACTAGATGAATAATAAACCATATTGTTTGTTTATTTTAATCAAGACAATTAGTTGAGTAATTCTTATTTTTTTATTGGTTTTGCATTCTCATTGAATTATTTGATTACTTGATAACTAATTAGATAGTAAGTTGCTCATTGTAGTTTAGGAATACTCATAATAAGTTTAAAACGCGGCAAAATCAACATATGTGCAATATGTATTAAGAATAATATTTATGGCATGTGCAATCATATGTTATAATCTTGTGAATCAATGCATATTTTCTATATGAATTCGGAGTAGGAATATGATCGAATCGTGTTAAACGTAGGTTTAATATATGTTGAAAAAGAATATTGAATAAAAATAGATTTTCGATTGTCTTGAATGTATAAATTTACTAAATTACGAATTGAAAATTGAATTAAATGACAATATGGCGATTCAAGATTTCAATACAAACATTCACATATTAGCAAATACTTTATTTGTTTTCTAAGTTCAGGATGAGTATAGAAAATATATAAACCGTCTCTGTTGAAGTTACGTGACTTTGAATTTTGATAAAAGCTAGTAAACTAGCTATTAGACTTTATTCCCCGTGAAAACGATAAACTTAAATGCCCATGCTACTATTACACGTGACTTGTGTGGCTGCACTTGCATGGCTAGGACATGTTCTGTGTAGATATAAAGATGCTCTCATTCATAAAAGTGATTTTACTTGAACATGATGGAACTTAACATGGTCCATTATGGTTGTTAACAATCTTGCTCATTTATGGCTTCCAATAGATGAAGCAATGACAAGAAAAAAGATTCAGTTAATCAACCTCAAATTTATTGAGATTTGATTTTGTTATTGACTACTTTAAATCCAAGTATTTCTTTTATATATATATATATATATATATATAAAACACTTGTTCCTTAGCTTTTTGTACACCGAACATGTGATCAATAAATAATATGACCTAAAAATTTGAGTCGTGATTTATAAATTTTGTTATTTCTGATTGATAAATAAATTGCAACCTATATTTTTTTTTGATTCGTTATCAATTAATAAATTATGACATATAAATTTTTTGATTTGTCACCTATAAAATTTTCTGTTTGTGATTGAGAAATAATTTGTAACAAATTTATTTTATAATTTGTGACCAAATCGTATAGACCTTAATATATTTAATTAATAAAATATATATTTAATTAATTATTTCATAAATAAAGCTTAATTAGTACTTGAGTTTTAAACCTCATTTCTTAGTTTGAAGTAAACTTGCCCAAGCAAAATCTCCTGTACAATGGGCTTATTCCAAGAAACAGATATCTCTCAAAATGGTTAGAGAGTATCGTAGAATGTCAACATCATATATGCCTGTAAGAAGACCCTCTTCGGCTCCTCCCTATTCCAAAGAAACCAACAATCGCTACATTTCTCATTATTTGTGGAATGGACAAAGCAAAATCATTGAAAACAATAATATTTTTTTTACCAAATTTCACCACTTTTCACCAAATATACCACTCCAACCCTACACCAAATTTTGCATCATTTTACATCAACTGTGATAAAAGTCCATTTTGCCCTTTTGTCATGTATGACCAAGTGATATCAAGGGTATTTGTGTCATTTTATATTATAAATAAATTTTAATTCGTAATTAAGTAGTTGATTACTATTGTTATTGTTGTTGTCTTTATTATTATTGTTGTTATTGTTGTTGTTGTTATTATTAAACTTTAATCGTGTAATTAATAATTGAACATTTGTGGGATTAATATATTAATTCCGATAAATAAATTACGAGGCTAGGTCGACTTCTTCACACCGTAATTTCGAGATTCAAAATGTACTACGTTGTTTTCAATAGCATTATTTAATATTTTCTTAGTCGTGTTATTTTATTAATTTTACTCCATTTTAAAAACATATTAAATAATTTAATATTTTCGTAAACGAAACGTAATTATTTATGAAGTAGTAAATCGAATAAATAAATAAATTTTCAGTTATATAAATTGTTAATAATAAAAGAAATGAAGAAAATGATTAAATACTATTCACTTGGTACAACTATTGGTGTAATAGGTTGGAGATGATTTCCGATACTACATGTAGCCCTTCATCTGCAAACAGTTCTCCCCGTCGTTCATCATTACCTTAAGAATATGCACAGATAATCACGCAGAAAGGATCGCAACTCGATAAATATATCTATGGTTTACAATTCCCC